CTTGGGGGGCGATCCCGTCTGTGTCCCCTTGTTGGTCTAATGACGGTCAGTCACGCTTAGCGGTGGCCGGTCCGGTACTAGTCTTCTCCTGGGCTGGTGTGTTGGCGATGTCGGTGTGTGGGTGGTGGTCCTTTTTTCCTGGTTACGACCCTCCAGGGTTGTAGTCTTGTAATGTTTTTCCTGCTCTATCAATAGAACTTCGCACCGTTTCGTGCGAGTCGTTCAAAAAAAATAATTAAGAAATAAGAAATGCAGTGTATTGTTTGATGATGGCACACACACGTACAACATCACACAAACAGGAGAAGGAAAACACAATTTGTATCAATTTCACTCCTATTAGTGGCACTCATCACCAACATATGCTAGCTTGATAGCTAATAAGTTGAGGAAACTATTAGTACCACTGTATATCATCAGCATTTGCATATAACTGGATAGTGTTGTCTGACGAAGAGTCAGTGCAGGCTGTCAAGCCAATGAGAAATCGGCTAAACACTCTCTGAAATGACCTGACAAATCGGTCAAAAAAGTACGGCCCCGATACTTCCAATGTACAAATAGAACATGTCACATTTTTTTTCCACTAGCAATAGATATGATACTGTATGTTCGATCAAAAGAAGAGGCAGTAGACCAGTAGTTGCCACAATTTTATCTGATAAGATCTGACCGGATATTCTGAATGTGACCCTGCTACACGGTACATATTGATATGCTGCGCAAGTGAAAGCCAGTCACTCAATCATATACTCCTCTAAGATGTAATCCAAGAAATACCATTAACAACTATCTAAATCCAAAAGAAAATGACATCGACAAATATTAGTTCCAAGAAATGCCATCATACAAACGATTTTGTCCCAAAAATACCATCCGCCATTAGGATTCCACCCATTCCGCATTGTTAAGTGCTATAGGATGAACAATATATTTAACGCTTGTCAATGGCATTACTTGGATTATCTCATAATTTAATTGATTACATTTCTTAGATAATGGTATAGTGTTTATGTTTTGTAGATAATGATATAAAGAGATTACATGAGAGAAAGCTATAGACACATATAACGCCTTTAATTTACACCCCCACGCTTTTGTTGCTTCAGATCGTTGAAATGAATAGTCAACTAAAAAATACTCCTCGTTTTTTTAAATATACGGTGTCGTTAACTTTTCAAAGTATGTTTTATGTTTAACCATTTATATTATTTTAATAAATATATGATTAATTTTATTTTGTTATATTTTATCACTAAAATATTTTAAGTATGACTTATATTTTTACATATTTGCTCAAAAGATTTTAATGATACAAATGGTAAAAATATGCTTAAAGGTAAATAGGGTCATAAAATAAAAACTGAGGGTGTATAGTTTTATAAACTTGGAAAGTATAAAACTTCTCGTTTCTACACCAAATAAGAACGCATACACGACTATATTTGTTGATACTAGAATTCGAACTAACTGGAGCAAAGTGAAACTTTTAATGAGAAAATATCATGTGAAAACAAGTTAAATGTTAAAAACTCATGAAAATTATATCTAAAAGTTTTATAAATTCATAAAACAATTACTAGAGAAAGGTATAGATGTGAAATACATTCTCACCAAATCTCAAGTCCAAACTCAACTTTATTTGAGAGAAATAAAAATGACAAATTTCAGGTGAATAGTAGCATATTACTATTCACCCAAAATTTGTCTTATTTGTTACCCAAAATAAAGTTGAGTTTAAACTTGATATTTGGCAATAATGTATTTCATAACCACACCTATCTTTAATGTTTTTTTCATAAATTTATAAAAACTTTTAAGTATAATTTTCATGAGTTCTCGTTTTCACTGAATATGCCCTCATTTTTAATTTGTTCAAAAGCAAATGCACACTATGTAAAAGCACCATAGTCATTTCTCTCAAAAATTTCCTGTGTACCTCTCTTGACATTCTATCCACGAATAAGAGCAGGGGCGACGCTACAGCCTACCATCGGGGTCAGTAGACCCCGACGATTTCATGCATACATCTAGTACCCCTCGCTTTTTTACCAGCTAGACCCCAGTCAAGCAAACTACTAGACCCCGGTGACACCGTTTCGTTAAAGCCCAATAGCAATTAGGAACGAGACTAGTAAGTAGAAAATAGAAAATTAATCAGCTCTTAAACGCCTGAGACTTGAGCCCACATGGCCGGCAGCCCAGAAAGTCCATTCCCCTGTTGCATCATATTCTTCTGGTAGTTTGACCGAGCACTTCGCATTGCATCGCCGCACATCTCGATTTCTCGACTTTCCGTGTCTTCTCGTCCTCGAGTAGTACACGCGTGCATCGCCGGCTTGGCGTCACAAGGACGAGAAGAATGGCAAGGGTGAAGGGTTATGGTTGAGCGCTCGAGCGCTCGAGCTGTTGAGGGCGGTAACCTACTAACATTATCACAATTTCTTGATTATTACCATCACAATTTAGCCCTAGGGTGGTTTCTCAAGTCCGAAAGTTTATTAGGAAGTTAGGGTTCTATAATTCAGAAGTTCTGAAATATGAACATTTGATTTGTCTTTGTTTTCAAACTTCAGTTATATGATCATGAGTAAGGAGGAGGATTAATGTATAATTTTGTTCCATCTTACGCATAGTTTTAGTCACACTACAAAAAAATGGTTTTTTTTTCTGACAGCCACCCCTTTCATTTTTTGCAAATGGCTAGCTTAAACTTAAAGGCTATATCTGTGAAGATTCATTTCACCATGTGATTATCGTAGCACCGGTCACAAGCGAAAAGATCTTTAGTCATAAGCGACACGATTGGCCACCTGTAAAAATGTGTTTTGGCCATTTACGATAAACCTGTTCATAGTAGTGCAAGTTCATTAGTTAGTAGTGACCCCGGCGATGATTTATTCTGGCTTCGCCCCTGAATAAGAGGACAATTACAACATAAACAGTTCTCTTTCTTAAAAAAACACTAAACATGATATAGTCAATGTCTAGTGTGGATATAATAAAAAAAAATCGTGCAGCATAAGAATTGGAGCTACCCTTAGCCGCCCATGTTGTGATAGTTCAATATTTTTAACATATTATCCATTATACATCTCAATCGTACTACGTACGCACACTTAATATGTCCTTCATCACAAAATATAAAAATATTTAGAAAGTGCTAAGTCAAACATTTTTAATTTTGATTATTAATAACGAAAAAAATAGAATAACTCGTTTATCATTAGAAAAACTATCATAATTTATAACTTTTTTAATTTCAAATAACTTATTGTTATAAATATTATTGGTTGAAATAACATCTCGAACACCTCTCTAGAGTTAAAAAATACTTATATTTTGGAACTGATGAGGGAGTAATACATAGACAGTAAATAAAACCAAAGAAAAATTAAATTGCCTACTCAAGTCAAGATGTGGTGACATGCAGGGTGTGACCTCCACGCCATAATCCACACAAGCTGGACTAATCGAAGACTAGCATAATAAAACTACTAGTACGTAATAGATATCGCTGAGCTAGCACATCTCGAACCACTTGCCCCATTAACTTGCATTAGCAAAACCTGTCATAAATTAATCAAATCTGCAGATAGGACGATGATATATTTGATACTATATCCTTGGGTGTACTGGAGAAATGGTCTACGGATTTTCGGCTGTCGGATCGAGATCTAACGGTCACACACTGATCAAAAGTCAAGAGGCAGGGTGGCATGGTGGTTAGTGTCTCGCCATCCAGTGATCAGCCATGTTACCTGGAAACTTTTTAAAATTTTAATTTTAAGTAAGACTTGGCAAAAAACAGAGGGCACCCATTGGATCTAATTAGGGCTCATTTGGATTGAGGGAATTTCAAAGGAAACTTATTGGATTTTAATCCTTGGAATTTATTTCCTATGAGGTTCTTTAAAACAAAGGAACGGAGTTTGCATGCAAATTATATGAATTGTTTCCTATGCCTTCATTCCATAAGAAACTAAACGTGTGCTCATGTTTTCATTTCCTTTGAAAAGTCCAATGCTCTTATTCTATTTCTATCTCTACACTCATTTCGATTCCTCCAAAATTCCTTGTCATATTTCCTGTAAACTATCTAAAAGCATTGCTTCTAATGTTCTTATGTTCTGAAATACTGTAGGAGGTTCTATTGTGTATGCCATTTTATTCATATATGATTTCCGTGTTGCTATATTTATAGAATCCTAGTTCCAGAATCCAGAGGATATTACTTAAATAGTTTGATCCTCTTGTCTATTTCTTGCGTTTTGTGCAAATCACCAGCAGATTATATGAACGTAATATCATGAGAGGCGGAGATAGAGTACGGCAGCTAGGGTTGCAACCCTACTCCTTAGCCTAAATATACATTGAAATTACACTTTAAAATTTTAAAAATTAGAAGATAAAGGTAAAATTATGTAAAGTATACTATTTGAGCCCTATGCTTAGAAAGATTCTGGTTCCGCCACCCATTATCCATGCTAATTAATTTGCATTTAGAGATCATGCACTTTATAGACAAGCATGCATGGAACCATCACCATATCCTTAGCGAGATTGGAGAAACGTGTAATATTGTAGATAAAGGCGGAGAAGATTGAGGCTAGAGATGTAATGCATCTTCCATTATCTTTATAAAAATCCAGATGAGATTATTTTATTTACTCTTTTCAGAAATAAAAAGAAGGCCAATGTTTTAGGTAGATAAGCTCTCTCTTTAAACTCTTTTTACGTGGATTCATGCCACAGCTCACAAACAACGTACGTATAGCCCAATTGTCCAAAACAATGCAATTTGCAGTGACTGCATGCGTGTTCCACACCAAAACTAATAAACTCTACTTACTAATTTGTGAAAAGAAAATCCCAATTTTACCCATGCAACGATTAATTAATCACCAAATACTAATGTCAACTCTGCAAGGACAAAAGGGGCAGTTTAGTCATTTGGGTCGCGGCCACAGCAAGTGGCCGCCTAGTACAAACAGCGGGCGCGATATAATACGCATCACCCGTGGCCATTTGATGCGGATTTGCTAGGGCTTTGAATTTTTTTTTTCCGCTCGATCGAGTTCGCTTCGAATTCGTATAATTAAGCTAATATAAGCTAATTAAGCTCGGGGATGAAGCTGTTCGCCTTCGTGAGGCGCTGCCGGCGGCTGTCGTCGGCGCCGGTGGATCAGGCGGCGGAGGAGGAGCCGGCGGCGGTGGCGCCGCCCGCGGAGAAGCGGCGGAGGAGGCCGTCGGGGCCGGCGTGGAAGCCGACGCTCGGGGCGATCTCCGAGGACGCCGCGGTGGCGTCGTCCGCCGCCGCGAAGGCGAAGCCGGCGGCGAGGACGAAGGCGAAGGCGAAGGGGAAGGCGGCGGCGCCGCCGCCGCCGCGGCGCGTGGTCCGGTCGGAGTACGACGACTTCCGGTGAGTTTTTTTTTTCTCTTTCTCCCCGCGCGCGCGAACGTTAGCTTGGGCAGTTTTTTTTGGCCGTTGGATTTCGGTGGTTCGAGGGATCGGGACGGATAGGATCTCGACACGTGTCCTTCGGCGCGCTTCTCCCGCGTCGCCGGACGCCGTGGCGCGTACGTGTCGCTTCCAGGTGGGCCACGGGTGACGTGGCTCCGAGTCAAGGTCGTCCGTGCGTGCATATGCTACGCAGTTTTGACTTTTTTGACATTTTTACCTCATCAACTTAATCCTCTCCTGCAGCTTCTTTCTTTTGGATTTTTTTCCTTTTTTTGGGGGTAATACTCCGTAGATGATACTACGTATAAAGACAAAATTGCTGAAACTTGGTTGGTTTGATCAACTTGCGAGTTGCGTTGAGTACCTAATTAGCAATTGGATCTCGCAGAGAGTTTGACTCCAGATAAGAGTGAGTAGAAAATTTAAAGAATCCTAAATTAAATGGGTTCACAGGGATCAAGCTTGCCAGGTCAATGCACTTTTTTTTTTTGGCAACTAGCAGCTTATACAGTTGAACTGTTCATCGCAGCTCATGATTATCCGTATAACCTAGCCATGTTGCAAAGCGTAACGCTCCATCATACTTTGACGACGTCTAGGGTTAGTTGAAACCGTACATATTATTCCAAAGACACATAAGCAATACCTATTGTGGAAAAAAAAATAAGTGAGTGAAAATTCATAAGTCTTGTTTTGTATGCATGAATTTTAAGATGCTCATGTCACGTCGAGATACTGCAGAAAAAAGACTGCAGACTCATCCGGTTTTTCAATTTCCATTATCACAACAAAAGAAAATTGACATACTCATACGGCTTAAATTAAGGAATTCATCTCTATAGTTGAATATCTTAGCACTTTCAATTTGTGTACAGATGTTAATGATGTTACAGATTCTTAGCATTATTAGGTGATGTCTAATCGAGTACTAATTTATTATATGTTATGTAAGATGGAAGGAGTAGATGGACACTTCGAAACTCATCGCGGTTGCCCCTTTTTTTTCTAATAAGTTATTTTGGCTTATTAGAAAATAAAAACTAATTTATAGATAAAACTTTTATATATATTTCTAACGATTTAAAAGTCGATGTTGAAAAATAAACTACGTTAAAAATATCTTAAATTAACTTTAAAATTAAGTTTAAAAATTTAAATTTTAGCTTTTGTTTGATTTATTAGGGCAACTCTCTTTAATTCCCTGCAACTAGTTGGACCACCGTGTCCTAACAATGGAATCTACTATGTATATAGACAATCTCAATTCTCACCGTCCTTGTCAGAATCAAGAACGAGGGGGTCCTCCACACGTACTAATTTCCTCCCTTTTATCGCTAGTGCATGTTAGTCAAACTCAAGCTATAGTACACTGGCCCAGATGACAAGTGAAGGCCGTGAAACTCTTCCCCTGATCACTTCGTGCCTGCTACCGCTACTACTTCTTGTCCCTCACATGCCATTATGGCAAAAATTTCAACAGACACCCATATGTTCAAAGTTCAAACATAGCTGAAACTTGCGAAATATATCCAGATTCATATGCATTTCGTCCCAAAATACATAAACTTTAAAAGTTACGAATCTGGATATGCATTTATCCATATTTATAGCTAAAGGTTGTTATATTCTGAGATTGATGGTAGTTACTTTTGTGGCCTAGTTATTTTTAGCTTGTTCACTAAATTATTGCTGCAGATTATTTGCTTTGCGTTTCTTTTTCTATTTTATTGTTCACCGTTATTTGCTTCACATGGACAAAATAATCCGCGGCAATAATGCCTTAGTCACTCTCTCTTTTTTTTTTTCCTTAGGGGGAGGGGGTTTGGGGTTTCTATTAACTGGTACTCCCTCCGTTTCACAAGGTAAGTCATTCTAACATTTTTCATATTCATATTAATGTTATGAATGAATCTAGATATATCTATCTATCTATCTAGATTCATTAACTTTAATATGAATTTAAGAAATGCTAGAATGACTTACATATGAAACGGAGGAAGTAACTCACAATTTAGCCTTCATTACTGGTACCGTGGTACTAACCAAGGTGCATCTCTGTGTCTCTACCTGCAGGCACTACGGGGCACCCACGGTGTTGCCGGCGTTCGCGCCGACGGCGTTCTTGTTCTGAGCTCAACTCCGGTGGACACAAGTCCTGTAGCTGATGGGGCGCTGTGTGCTCGTAGTGTGTGTGTGTGTGGTTTCACTGGCTTGACCATGACGCCTCTCTAGTGTGTGTGGTGCTCGCTGGCTTGACCATGACGGCTCAGCTTTTGTGCGCAAAGATCTGAACGAACTCGCAAAGCTGATTCTGTAAATTTTCCGGATGCTTCTGATGATGTGCATATAAATCTGCTGCTGCTGCTGCTGCTGCTGCCCGATCCCCCCCACTCGCGTTTGTGGCTTTCGGTTTCCATCGCCTTTTTACGATTCCTGATGTTCTCCTGCATGATGCGTGGATATGTGATGGAACGAGCAGCAAATTCCTCTTGGTTCAACGATGCCGAGACAAGTTCATCTTTTTGATAGTTCGATTGCTACAACGACAAATAATCAACCAGAAATCTCGACGGTTTTATGCATTACAGTGATCTCGATGGACCAACAGATACGACAAGCAAGCAAGCAAGAATGAACAACTATTATGTCCTTTACTATAGTGAAAAGAAGAAAGTATAACGTGCTAATGAAGTACCGGGAAACCAATATGCTGCATACATAGGCATAGCACTGATCTGGCAACATCTTAAAACAAGCACACCAGAAACATATGTGGCACATCCAAGTAGCAGCACAGAGGTTGCAAATTATTCCCCAGCTTAAATCACGGGTAGCAGGCTGAAGAATAGAAGCACAAATAGTTCATAAATTCTCATCTCTTTGTTATCAAGAGTGGAAATGAGCCACCAGTTACGAGATCAGCACCCCTCGTGTGTCGCCATCCAGAGAGCAACAATTGATTTTTTTTTCCCATGATGGAAGAATCAAACATGAAGATAAAACCAGTGCGCTTCGGCGAGGCCATGGTATTTGAGTCGTGCCATCATGGGAGCACAGCGTGCATGTGCAATGAGGTTAGTAACCGTTAATCTTTCGCTGCGAGGGGCTAGAGTGTAATGCCCGGTTGTCAGTGAGCCTTGAGAAGCCAACCTGATCCCTGGTCCCTGGACTCTGGGGCACTTTAGGGCTAGGAACACTTGTCAAGCGACTCTGAGGCACAGTATCAGACATGGACTTCGAGAAGGCTTGTGCAAGCTCCAATGCAGATGCTCCTTTCCCAAAACGAGGTGCAACAACCTCAGGCTTTGGTGGCTCAACTGGCTTACGCCAGGTTTCAGGCTCTGGACGCTGTTGCTCGGGCTTCTCCACATCTCTAGCAACTCTCCTGTTGTCCTCCCGTCGTGTAGGCCTATACACATCACTCCGGTCTGTATCCCGCCTGTAGTCTTTCTTATCAGCATTCCTTGGGCCTCTAGAACCAGCTGGAAAACTCTCAGCCTTTTCACCTGAAGGGTTAATGGACATAGCTTCGACCTTCTGCTCACCCTTTGCAAATTCACTTTTAGACCTGGAAGATGCCACAAAGGTTATTAGCGAATGCGGTACACATCCAACGTATGCATGCTATAGTAATATCTGCAGAAAAGGAACAAAGCTTCAAGAAAATGAATCTCGTAAAATAAGGTAAAAACTACATGTTTTCTGTCACCATCCTTTCTTGGCACTCCAAAAGCCAACTTCGAACTTTCAAACATCAGAATTAGATAAAAAAAACTCTATGCAAAGGAAAATAATACACATTCAGCTTAGGAATGTTGCACAAACAAGCATGTTGTTTCACACCATCATGTTAGTTGCTTTCCGAAAACACAACAGTGCAACTTTTACTATCTTAAGAACGAAAGCCCAACTGGAAGACCAATCACTGGTCCTGCAATTGTAGGTGGCCAGTAAAATCATGTCACAATGAATGGAACATTAACTATGGTCCAGACCTGGAGATACCAGGATTTCAATATTAATAACAAGCATGAATCAGGAAGCATTAGATATAAAAATGTAATTCAAGCCAAGTAAAACGTTGATTTTATCTGAAGGGCTGTATGCTAACTACCTGCCAACTGGAGATGTCTTATCAAGGTCACTTGCTAAAGCATCTATTCCACGCTCTCTGAGAACCTGAGTTTATGAACAACATTAAGTTTTTGGTAAAGCTAGGAAAAAAAAAAGAAAATTACATATATGCAAGTGCAACATGAGGAGAGAGAGAGAGAGAGAGAGAGAGAGAGAGAGAGAGAGGATCGCATACTTGTTCCCTGGGCCGAGCTCCACCAAAGAGGGATTGCCTACCACAATATTTACAAAAAATGAGAGAGAAGATATTGAGAATTACTACAGGAATGAAATAGAGACCAGAAGGACAATTCTTACTGAACAGATTGAATGCAAGATTGATAGCTATTAACTTGTGAACAAATTTAGCAACGGTATAAATCTTGAAAACAAAAAATCCAAGATTCAGAGATTGGGAAAAAAAGAATGGGGATTCAGGAGCCAAATTAATGACAGTAGAATCTAGACGCCCTTGTACATTTTCACTCACTCATTATTCACATGGATTTAAAACATTTTTCACATCCACTATTCGTGCAGACAAAAAGAAGCACAGTTTATTTCTATTGGAGCAACTAAATGTCTATAAACATGTTACATAATTCGTTCCACATGTAGTGTGCACTATGGAACTAAAGGGAAGTGGTTTGCCACAAGTAAATAATAAATCAAACCTAAAGGGATCCCTATTGATATAAACTCACCATGATAGGTTAAACATGTGTTATGCCCTTTTGTTAAATATGAGCTGCATGCAATTGTCAACAAAGAAAAAAGAAAGATGACCTCCAATAATACAATACTGCAAATTGCTTTAGTCCTCCAACAAGGTAGAATCCAAAACAAAATAACAAGCCATTCTTAATAGCGCACAGCACAAACATGCATGTGGAAATGTACATACTGAATGCAAACAACGAAGATTAATATTCCAATCTAAATGCACCTATTTCATATTAACAAAGATCAATCAACCAGATGGATACTTGTAACCTCAACATTTAACAAAACATAAAAAGGTGCTTGAACAGGCCAAGTGTACCACACATATGGCAAGCAACCAACAGCATAATCCAAATGATAAAAATAGACGTAACATTCAAGAATTAGTTGAAAAGAAGGGAGGCGAGGGTGGAGGAGGGGGCTAAACACCACCTACCTTTCCTTTGGAGCACTTTCATCAGACTGTCCTACTGCATTGGAGCGGGGTTTCAGATTCAATCGTGGTCGCTCCACTGCCCGGCCCTCAGCATCTGCCCCTGCTACTCCTGCTTTAGGTGCTACAACATTCTGGTGCACATCATGAATAACGTCAACCTGCACAGTATTCGCGACCACTGGAACCTGATGCACCTATACAATAGTTGTCCAAAAGGGAGAAGATTAAGGTTTCACCATGCCATTGCATACATACCATATATCAAATCAAGCAAACTAAGAGCAACTTAATAAGCACAAAGCAACACAACACAATCATGTATCACTTTGCATGGAGATTTGCAAACATCATTTGATGTTACCGCTGGAAAACAAGACAATTCAATTTTCAATCCGATCAACACACATGGGAGCAAGAGTAATAACCTGCTTCTCTTCAACATAGACAGGAGATGGTTCTGAAGCCTCGATTGGCTTGGAGCGAGGAAGCAGCTTCAACTTAGGTCTCTCTGGCAGCACATCACCAACCCTAGGTCTCTCTGGCACATCACCCACCCTAGGTCTCTCTTGCACCTCCAAGCCTCTAGCCTCCCCAACCCTGCCTTCATGCGACGCAGGCCTCACTGGCGCCACGCTCCTCTCTATGCCACCATCCAGCTCTCTCACCCCGACTGACTTTGGCCTCTCCATCTCCGGCGGTGCAACATGAGTCTCCACCACCACTGGGACCGACACAGGCGCCGCCGGTGGAGAGGAGGGTTTCGACGAGTTCCACCTCCCGGAGATCACCTTCTCCACGGCGCTCGCCTGCGCAATGCGCGTCGCCGACCAGATCTGACCACCGCCGCCGCCGCTGGCGGCAGGACTCACCGGCGCCGCGGTCGGAGCCGCCTCCCTCCTCGGCCCCCAGGCGTTCCCGGGCCCGGATCTGGTGGGCCCCGCAGCCGGGGATGGGGCGAACGACGGGGGCGACGGGGCCGGGCGGCGCGGCGTGGAGGCGGCCTCGAAGGGCGTGCGCTCGTCCTCGTCGAAGTGGCGGCCGATGCGGGAAGGGTTGGTGAGGAACGACGGGACCGCGGCCGCCGCCGCCGCGGCAGCGGCGGCGGAGGTCGCCGGGGCGCGGGGGCGAGCGGACGCCGCGGGAGCGGCCGCCTGGGAGGCCACGGGGCGGTCCGCCGGGCGCGCGGAGCTGCGACAAACGAGAGTTAACATCACTCCATCACCTACACGGCTACACCGAACGACGAATCGCGAGATGGGGCTAGGGTTTGGGGGTGGAAACTTACACGCCGGGGGCGGAGGGGAGGGGGAGCTCGGAGGGGATGGAGCCGCCGTGGAAGTCCTTGAGCGTCATCGTCGTCACCGCCTTCTTCTTCGACATGGCGGCGGTGGCCGGCGCGTTCGCCGTCGTTGCCCGAGGAGGACCTCGTCGGCGTCGGCGGCCCGCCGATGCTTCGCCCCTCTCGACGACGCGACGCACGGGGTTAGGTTAGGCCGCGCCGCTTGATCGGGGGGGTTCCAGGTGTCTCGTCCGCGCGGCGCTCTCTGCTCTCTCGCCTTCGCAAATCGCAAGGGGGAGGGGGAAGAGGAGGGGGAGGAGGGTTTGTGCCGCGTTGGATGGGGAGGAATTTTTTACGAGTTAGCCCCTGTGGAATTTTGTGGCGTTGCACACGAGGCGGCGGTTTAGATTCGGCGAGAGTTTAGGGGGATTTTTCGCTAATCCAGTTTCTTTAGTTGGGCTGGGCCGAGTTTGGGTGTGTTGGGCTGTTGCCTGTTGGAAATGGAACGAGGTAGTGATAATTTATAATATTAATTATTATTATTATTATTACAAAATAAAGTGCTTGATACAAAATTATTTTATAAAGCTGCAATCATGCGGTATGCCTTGTCTAATAGACGGAGGAATAATGTTAGGTTAAAGGTTGCCGAGAAAAATAAGTGATAAATTCTGGTGAAATCTGTCAAAAAGAAACGGCAAATCAAGATGGTTGATTTGAGTATCTCCTGAGATCCATCTTGGGTAGATGTTACTCTTACTCTTATCTTCTTATGTACCAGATTTCTATATTTGGTTTCGGTATGGGGAAAACTTGGTAAATAAGTAAATCAATCAAAGCTTACGAGGGAATGGCATCATCATCATCATATATGTAGCAAATAAACATGGAACATGCTATTGTTCTTTATTCAGACACCGAACAATTAACTAATCATGTATAATATAGAAGTTTGCTAAATTAACATAGACACTCTATAAGGGAATCTCTCAGTCAGCAGAGCCCAACACTTCCAAGCTCCAAACCCAGAAACATACAAAAGCTTCTTCTGACTTCTGCAACTTCCCTGGTAAGAGTAATATGCAGCAGCACAAGAACAGAGTCTTCAGGATCATTCTTTCCAGCCACAACATCGCAGTCCTTACTTCAGCTTGTGGATGGTCTCCATGTCCACGGCCTCGTTGAGGGTGCCTTTCTCGACGTGATCCCACCAGCCCATGAGGAAGTTGTCAACAACCAGCCGGAACCAGGGAGACAGCTTCAGGCCTTCCTCTCCGGCGTCCGCTTTGCGGATGAGCTCCTTCAGCTGCTCACGGCTCACGTATTTCACATCGGCCACTTCGTCCGGGTTCGGGACTACCTTCACGTCGCGGACGATGAACAGCAGGTAGTCAACTGCAGATGAGAGGTAAGAAACAGGTTTCAGTGCAGGGCGGCATAATGTTCGTTCTTACACTTCTGGTGAAGTATCCCGAACAGTCGTATCTATTTGTGTAATAATCGTAATGATCATATAATTGGCTTATAGAAATGAGAATAACACTAAAGGTTGAGCTTCAATGAATAAAAATAAGTGTGCAGGTAATTAAGTAAGGTATTAAAACTAAAACTTACGCTCGTGTTCACCCCATTTTCCATCAGATGGGGCCTTGTAAAGCATCCGACCAAGAGGGGTGAATTGGTCAACTGGCACATCTTCAGCTGGGATGCCCAGCTCATCCAAGAGCTTCCTCTGAGCAGCATTTCTAACACCTGGAGAATGATAATATGTTACTAACATCATTGAAACAGAGCAGAAACGGAAGAATAGTTGGCCTCAACTAGCCTTTTTTTTGGCACATACCAAGGTAGTTTTCCTGTATAAGCTCAGACTCACGGTACAGAGGATGGCTGCAGCAAGTGTTGGTCCAAACTAGAGGAAATGTAACCTTTGTTGCAGATCGTTGCTGGAAAAGTAGAACAGATAATCAGCAGATGTTTTGAAGAATAAGATGGCAGTGCTAGAAATGAGATATGAAAAATAACTTCCAGTTGAGCATTTGAAGAATATGAATATGCGGGTAATTTGTAAACAGAAGACATTTTGAAAACTAGTTACGCAAAGAGCTATGTCGTAAATGTCATCACAGACACAACATCTACAAGTCTCAGAAAATTGCGCGCGTCTGAATCATGAGCGCAAAACCTAAATACCATTTGTTTTTCTCAAGAGTGATTTAAGGCACAAACCTAACTTCCAACTGGAGATCCTGTGTTACTAACTGCTATGGTAACTTGACATGGGAGCACAGTGAATAGTTGTATAGAATATGTGCCAGGTGCAATGTAATACAAGATTAAAAAAAATGGAAGTGCAGAATTAGTAAATTCTCCAAACCTGGAGTAGGAGTTCATATTTTGAGTTGAACAGGAATACACTGAAAGCCCTATGAAGTAGATTTTCAGATTCGATTTTTTCCATCAGATGGCCTGTGTCAAATGAATCAAGTCAAGTATCGTTCCAATAACTAATTCAAAAGAATGTTGGGCACAGGATTTGAATAGAGATGCAGATAACAACACTTACAGTTATATTTTGATTCATGGCCAACAACATTGTCTTGTTCATCCACCAAAATGCATCTGTGAAATAACAAGAATGTTACTTACTTGAATATCTTGAAACTAATACTTATAAAAAAAACATAGTCGTATTTACTGAATTCTAAATCATTAAAAATGTTTACATGGTTTACAAAAAAAAAATAGACCAATTAAGCAACTAGACATATATCGTACATCGCTTATGGAACTTGCATTATACGGCCATCACACTCAAGCTAACATTGGCAAAGACAGGATAGCAAACCTGAAATTATTTGTTGACATAATTTGGGAAAAGAATATTGAATAGAACTAAAGCAAAAGGTGCCATCAGAGATTATTGAATACAGTAGGTACATGTGTTTACCATAATATTTACATATAAAAGGGCATTCTTTTGAACCACAGGAGGAATCTCTTTTCAAATAAATCTTTCATTATAAGAAAGGGAAAAGAAAAGCATCGCATTCGCTCCTTCCATATGATCTTTAATAGCTGTTGCTAAGTCAAATTAAAAGCGATAGGGAACATCATGCATAGTCATTCAAACAGTACTTTTGCTGATCCAGTACACCTTTCGCTGATCCAGTACACCGTAAATTGAATGAGGCGGCTAAACCATTAGCTTTTCCTACAACCATCTGAAGCTCTGAACTCATAGAACAATAATTGCACAAGTGACAAACAAAGCCAAGAGAGACCGTTGAGTTGAACACATCAAACCAAACCAAGTCATGACTAGGTTGCCATATAATGAGAAATTACAAATCCACACACAAGCAAAGCCTTATCTTTGACCTGCAGTATCCAGTCACATCTTGCACAGTATTTTTTTTAACAAAAAGAGTATTTAGCGCGTATAGCATTTGCTAAAACAACAAAAGGAACAGTGTTCTAGCCAAACATTGCCCACAAGTGCCCTCCCATCCCATGGCCAACCCAGAAACTCCCACGGCATAGGCCCCGAGATCTAATAACACTGCGAACAAGTGAGACTAAGCAAGTGAAGTTCAAACCCAACCAAAAATATAACCCGCAAGTGAATTTTGGCCACCGTGAATTTTGGCGTTCGTTTATGCGAAACAACTAAAATTCAAATCCCAAATCCCCCCCCCCCCCAATCACCACGAGATCCGATGGGGGGTGGGGGGCGCACCGACCACCAGAAACCCAGACTCGCGCATCTCATCAATCAAAATTTCTAAAGCCAATAACGGCGCAGGAGGGAGGGGGGAGGGGGGGGGGTTCGGGGCGCGCTTACTCGTCGTCGAACATGAGCCGCTTCTGGACCTCGTCCATCCCGGCGTCCTCCACGGCGGCGGCGGCGCCGGCCATGCCTCGCGGCGGAGAAGGCGCGGCCGCCTCTGCGCGAGGCAAAGGGAGAGTGTGTGCGCGACGCGAACTGCGAAGAAGTGTCTCTGCAGCCAGCGGCGGAGGCGGAGGCGGGGTGATAAATAACGGGTGGGCCGGCCGGGCCGGGCCTCGCGGACGGCGTGGTGGTGGTGGGCCCACCTGTCAGCGAGCATTGTACATTTGTACAAGTAGATCTCTGTCCGGGTCAGCCACGTGCGTGCCACTACCATACGTGGTGTTTTTTTTTTTTTGGCTCGCCTCCTCTCACGGTCGCTGAAAGGTGGGGCCAGGAGTGTGATCTGGGCCATCTGGCTGAGCTCGTATTCCTCGCGCCTCTTATATTATTTTCGGGAATAATAACTTTTTTTAAATAAAATGTGTTCTCTTGTCTCTTTATGTCAGAAGAATCACATGGTTACGATGACTCGTGTTGGATCCGATCTGTGAAAAAAAAAATCCAAAAAACAATAACTACTAGCGTGGAGCTTAAAACATTGCCAATTTTTGTATTTCCGGGCAAACAATTTGCCATAATTTTGATAACAGACCACATAATCGCAAAACCGGCAGGCGCTGCCAATTATTTCGCGTCGGGCCACAGATTAGTAAGGAGTAAAGGACCACAAAAATGCTTACTGAAATTGTCACAACAGACTAAACGGCTGCAAGAACTGGCTAGCGCTGCTAATTTTGGTGTAGGATAAGCCCATCTAATTAACAGCTACCAAAAGTTCCCTCGTTAAAAAGCATACATAATCGAAGATGCTTCTAGAGTTGAGTATTTTTCTTCCTCATTTATGTCGGGAACGTTAATTTGTGGTGCTAGTTTTTTCTCTCTTTTTTTTTTCATATAATTGTGGTGCTGATCCTGATGGAACACGAGAGGCTGCGAGGAGACTAGAAGCAGCTGGGCTAGCAACCGGGGTGCATTAGCAAACCATCGCCGCCATGAAATTGGTGAGTATATTATCTAAAAATAAAATATTGAAATTGGTGAGTGACTGGAGCTTCAGCTAGGAAATCTTCAGAATTTTCATTTTTGTCGTGTCCGTCGCGTCGTCGCTTTCTCCCAAGTTTATGGATGGCATTCTACACTGGACTACTGAGTACTCCACAGATGCAGCTACTCGACCCTTGCGGTAAAAGATTGACGCTACTTGACGCTGTGCCCGAATAACTAAAAAAACTTTATTAGAAAAAAGAGAAAGAAAAACCAACTGTCAGGTTGTAGATTTGCACACTTCTCAACAGAATTGAGGAACACAACACAGAAACAAGGGGAAATGGTCATTACACTGGTGTTCCAAATACCCATTGGAGAATCACATCTTACTTGTTTGGAGCATCACAATGCTTTCCATTAACTAAACCAGTATCTAGTTAGTAACTGTATTGAGTCCACTGTTCATTTGCCTACAAAGCAGTACAATCTAACCATGCTTTCACATAAGAGGAACGACAGAAATCTTTGTACAGCCTCAGGAAAGACAGTAATCACAAAGGACCAGGGTCAGTAACTGCTAAATACATTGAAGGTGTGTCCTTCTAGGTCGTCTCATCATTACATGGTTCAAGGCTTCAAGCGTTGACATTGGGAGAATGCTTACTATGTCAAAGGTCCTCCCCTTCGCACCCGAACGCGCTCACCATTGAAATGCATGTACTTGTACTTCTTCAAGTATTTCTCGAGGACAATCTTTTCTTTATCTTCCTGGCCTAAAGTCACAAATGCTCTTCCGATCCTTCTTGTTGTATCCTCGTCTGGATGCACCCCTAGCTCCTCCATGTCAGCATATATCTAAAATTGGAAGTAGTTATTAGGGAAAACAACCCCCAAGCAACCCTTTAGGGAAAAAAGAAGAACCTACATTTCAGCACTAAAGCATAGATTGACTCACAATGATATGATCCTTTAAAAAATGTACATATGCAAATGAATATAACAAACTCAATTAGTAGAAATGAAAACACAAATTAAAACATCAAGAAAAGGTTAAAAAGGTAAATGTCACCTAAATCTACAGGAAAAATATAAAAAAGTCAGATACCACCTCCAAAACCTTGTCTGGACAATGGCGGGTGTCATATATCAGGATCATCCGGGAAAACAACCTCTTGGGTACTGAACGTGTATGAGTTTGTATGATATTATTCCAAATCGACTCAGCCTCATCTATCCTTCCATCCATAAAAAGAGCCAACAGTAGTGTATCATACGTTGTCCATGTCAGCACCTGGCCTTTGCTCATCAACCACTTGGCTACCTGATAACAGCAACAAAATTGAAAGGTAAGTGAGAAAATGAGCTTGACATCAAAAGCTGCGATTACTGTACTCTCAACAGACTAACAAGGAGATATAATCTATAATAACCTTACCTGGATGATTCTCAGCCATTGTCTCCGCCTTTTCAACATTTCCAAAGCTTTTGCTGCTGCAATAGTAGGGAATTCGGGCTCAAAGGCAGTCCACTTATCCAATGCACCATAAACAGCTTCTTTCTCATTTGGTAACTTTGAAACCTAGCAGATAGTATTCCAGACTGATTTGAGACAATTTCAGTTTCTTAAGCTTGGCAATATTAACATAACAAAATGGATGCTTTCTTATCAGAATGAAGCTCAAGACAAAATTAACAACAGAACAGACCATTTCTTCAAATTAATTTCACATGTTTAAGCTAGGGAAAGAGAGAGAGAAACACGTAACAGAGATGTAATATCTTACAGTATTAACAAGATGAAGAGCCTTTTTCCCTGACCCAGCTGAATCCTTCCTTATCCATAAATGATGCTCCTTGTTTGGCTTCTTTGACACCCTATGACCACAATAAATGAACACTTAATTTGGTACATGGTGATGTTACAGGTCAAAACGAACATCATAATATCGGCAGCTGTCGTTAGAATAAAGAGGGCGTGTATCCAGCTGAGCTACTCAAAAACCTCACCGAGAAAGAAAGGGATACCTGATCTACTACTTGCATCACATGTTTTAGCTTTCGAGTCATGGGCATTTTTAATAAAGAAAAAAAATGCAAAGGTTGAAACCAGCAAACAATGCTGCAGAACCTCTGCCAAACAGACTACAGTAATTAGAACTATAGCTGGAGAGAAATCAATTTCTCTAACTGAATTCCTGGTGTATTTGTCAACCCTGCAAGCAACTCCTAATGACATAATAGGCATGTATAACTACTGAATCACTGCCTAAAATCAACTCTACATCTAAAACAAGACAACCAAATGGAAAATGGTAACATCTAGATGACCTAAGCTCTAAAGTGAATCTTCACAACATATACTTCTGTCTTACTGCAACTCTCAAAATTCAGAGCAGAGCTTCTTCTGATAATATGGACATAAGTGAAGCAACTGAGTCCACAAAATTATCTTCAACTGACCATATACAAGGTTGAAGGATCACAACCCAAGGTTGATGGCCTTGCTCAATGCTCATATATCATAAAATTATACTTTATATGATAATTAATTTAATTTTTCTACCATCCATATCACAATTTTGATGGCCTTGCTCAATGCTCATATATATCAAATTAGAATAGGTGTCGTGTACCCTTTCACACTGATGTAGGATTTACCAGTTTCACATGCTTCTCAAGTTCAATCTCCTAAGATCCTAAATTCTTTGTGCATCTTGAACCGCATCACTAGCTGTAGAATTTTACCAAGCAAATCAGATGCCATGCTTTTGTATAATGATTTCGGTCAGTTTATAACCCTCCCTCAACTTCATGGCAAATGAACACCTTGCCCTTCCTAGGTGATTGCATTTGCAAAACAACATACCTCTAAGGCTCTAACCACTAAATCCTAGTATATTGCACATCTAACACAGGACTAACGACAGAACGACTCACACGAGCAATCTCAGTGTACGCAATCCCGACGCCAACAGCTTGAGCGGGTTGAGCCGTGAGCTCGGATCCGCCTACCTTCCACTACACACCCGCAAATCCACAGCTCCAGCCGCCCACCCGCCGAAGCACGGACAAGCCAATCCACATCCAACACTAGAGCAGAAGCAGCAGGCTTATCCACTTACAGAGCTCGGCTGCCGGTAGGACGGCCCCCTCCTCTTCCCTCGCCCTTCGTCGCGCTCGCCGGCGGCGGTGGCGTCCCCGCGATGCGCGGTCCCAGGCGGAGGGAGAAGGCTCCCGCCATGGCCGCACTCCTCGGTGGGGGTGAGCAGCACAACGGCGGAGAATTGAGATAAGCGGAGCTCGCGGCGGGGAGGAGCGTGTTGATCGATCCAACGGTGTAGATTGTAGGGTGGGCTCATGGGCCAGAAGGCCCGGTGGACTTTTTTCTTCTTTACCGCATTGGCCTTCCAAGTTAGAAAGGCTCATGTGGTTTCCTACTTTATGGGGGGACCTCTATTTAACATTCACTCCAACAACAAGAATTGCAAATTGACCAGCTTAAGCAAGCATATTTCACAACAAAAATTGACCAACATACTCCCATTTCAGTGTAAACTCAACAACGTTCTGTAGTACTATCTAATTTAAGAAGCTCCCCTAGTAAACTCAAAACTGACCAGGGACCTGTTCAAACCAAAGGGAAGGGAATGGGCATGATCTGAGCCCTAGGGTTTAGGGTTCCGGGGAGAAGAAGAAACCTAGCATCAGATCAGGAGGGAGGGCCGGAGGGGACACGGCGGGGCTGGGGGGTGGAGACACTTAGGCCCCGATCGAGAGTGAGGGACGGGGAATAATCCCTCCGGTATGGAAAACGGAGCAAGCCATTAGCGCGTGATTAATTAAGTATTAGCTAAATGTTTTTTTTCGAAAAATGGACCAATATGAATTTTTTAAACAATTTATATATATAAACATTTTACAAAAAACACACCGTTTAACAGCTTGGGAAGCGTGCGCGCGAAAAACGAGGTGGCGGGAGCGGTTGCCCGCTGAAATGAGCGCACCCTTACTTGACCTTCATGCGGGCGAGGCAGTCGCCGGTCGGTGACAGAGGTGCCCCTTTCCATCCTGGGCTCCTTGGTACCGAACGTGTAGCTGGCGAGCGGGTACTTCATTTTTTCCCTTTTATTATACACTAAAAATCAACGTGCATACTAACGCGCTTGCTATTTAACCTGTGTAACATCGAGTATTAGCAATACATATAGTTAGATGAATGTTTGGAAAAATGAAAACCGAACTCTAACAAATACCTACACCCTCCGTCCCCCCAAAAAAAAAAACCCACTTATGGGTTTTCTCGATCACATGTCAAAAAACTTATATGGTGCCATATGGACCAATCATCTTGCTGGAATTCAGCTAGCTTGAGATTAATTGATTGATTGATTGATTGATATCTTCATTCCCTCATTCAGGAATTGCTTCGTTTAAGAATTGCTCCTGCATTGTCATTACATGAAATCTCACAAGTGACAACACTGTGCTCCCTTTCCTCCAAGGGTAGGATCAAACCGGTCATAAATCTCGTTAGCTCAACACTCTGGACTTTGGAGGGTTGTGGCACGGGACTTGAAGGCTGGAGGAAGTCAATTCGTTGGCTTGCATATTTTTGGTTCTACTCATGCCGTGCTGGTGCTGCTAAAAACAGTGGCACGTAGAGTATGTCTAAAGTCACGACGACTTTGGAGCGACATAGCCATAATTTTTTCAACATTTCAGGGGTCATAAGGAGGCAAAATTGTCGCTGAGCGTTCCATTTGGCAGGTTCAGGTCGGCAGCAATGCAACAATCTCTCTTAAACACAAGGTCCCCTTCTTATGTCGGCATTCTTGGACAAGTAGCCACAACGCTGATTAATTGGTCTTTGTCCCCTATTCACAATGTCTTTGCTGATGAACGACGATAGCAACATGTCTGTCTGCCATTGTCCTTCCAGACAGTAACAAAAGAGAACGCTCTTGGTGATAATACATGCTGATATTATGTGCACAAAGTTGGTTGCAGCACAAATCGATGAATGATGATTCATTGTGCATTGGACAGCAACAAGCCAACAAGTAGAAATTTATTGTCAAGACAGACACAACGCTAATCCACGGGTGATTAGCCGATCAATATGACTATGCAAGAATATTATTAACTATGGCAGCCATGGATACATCATACATTGAATCGCAAAGAAAATTATTATCATACAACTTCTCTACAAATCTAATGTCAATGTTTGATCCTGGTCTATAAATGAAGGCAACACCCGCTGTCAATCAAACTGAGGGTACATCAAAGGGTATCATTCTGTAAATTGGACCAGGGAATCGGTATGTATATATATGCTCTCTATCATTTCTTCTTCTCAACATACTACTGTCAGTGCCACGCAGAAGCAGATATCAGCTTTCTGCTCCTCCAGCCGAGAAGCATCGCGCCGTCCTTCTCATCCAATGTGTATTTATCGGAGTAGCAGGCGAGAAGCTTCCTTATCACCGAGTTGACGTACGAGCTCAACGGGTAAGGCCTGAAGCCGGCCATGGTCAGCCTCGACTTCCACTTGCCAAGCAGCTCATGCCTCTCCACCCTGTCCTTCCCCTCGCAGGCGATGATGTTGACGATGTCCTTGGCGAGGCAGTGCTGCTCCACGCTGATCCTCTCCTTGTTGTCCCGCGGCAGGTTGGCGTCGATCGACTCGAACATGGCGGAGTAGTACTCCATGGTCTCCCCAAACCTCATCAAGAAAGGCGTTGTGTTGGTGTGTGACTCCTGCTCTACCAAAGTAGTCACCTTCGGGGACAGCCCTTTCACCATCCGGAGCAGACCATCGCGTGGGTTGTTGACATCCACGCTCTCGTCCGGGGTGTGGTGTAGCTGGAGTGTGAAGTTTACAGACAGTGCTTCACCTGGCCTGATCTCAAGCATCTCTTTCGTGACTTGTGTGGCATAGACAGACAGAGGCGTAAACTCCAGAGGTATTTTGAATTCTTCAGACATGCTTTTCAACATTTTCCCCACAATGTCAAGACCTTCACCACGAGCATACTCTGACACTGGGTCATCTATCCCGGTGATCCGCACACGAGGAGGACCACCAGGCCTTGCAGCTAATGCTTGTATCAGTGTGATCCATTGAGTCCCTTGAGCAATCTGAAAATCAATTATGTGGATATTGTTCTCAGTTCTCAATGCTTCTGCAATCGCCCCATTGGCTGCCATATAGCCAAACTTGAAGTAAGGGCAGATATTGTATAGAATTCTCATGTAGGACAGGAGCTCCTTGCTCTCTGGCTCACGGCACTTCAGAGCACGGTAGATGTTTGTGCCAGAGTTTCCATGTCTAGCAACCAAACCCTCCAGTAGGTAAGCACCTAGACGTTGGATTGGTTCCCCGTTGATTGAGACCACTCCACGAGCCTCCTGAACAAGCTTATGGAACTCCTCTGTCCTGTCCTCACTCAGAGCCTCAGCACACCTGGTTAATAGCTGCTTCACAATTATCTGAGGGTCTTCCCTTAACTCCCTTTGCCGTTTCTCTGGACGAAATTCATAGCTTGCTGTGGGGTATCCACCAGATGCAAACTGTGACCGACCAACTCCAGGTAACGGCTGCCGTGATTCATGACTCCATGTTCTCGACCGCTGCCTCACAAGCTGAGCAGGCTTGATTTCCTCAAACTCATGCTTGGTGCTAGTTGTTGCATCATCTGTATCAGGTGCCATCAGAACAGTCTCAATCTCCCGTAAGGCGTGTTGCATATTATGTCTTGATGTAGCATACAACGGATCAGCTCCCACTTGAATGTTCTCCTGGAGAAGAATACCCGCCTGTCTATATGAGCTGTCTGCTTCCAATGGGGAGATTGGTTGGGCTGAAATGGTTTCTGTAGAGCTCTGGTTATCTGGAGTGTTGGTAAGAGCAGACAAATTGTCACACTCAAATTGGGAAGAGAGAGGGGTGTATGGGGAATCGCTGAACTCGTACTTCAGTGGGTTAGCTTGCCAGGGAGAGTTTTGCAAGTTGTTCTCTGTAGGAATTTCGTACACAACGTTAGCGCCAGTCAATCTGTACTTTAATAACTGGTGCAAGTCCATAATAAATGAACGGAGATTAGTCGTTCATGACCTGTACATAGCAAAAGAAGGAAACTATAAACCATTTATTCCATGGGAGGTGGTAAAAACAAACAAGCAGAACAGAACATTTTGCTCTATCAGTGCAAATTACAAACATATAAATCATAGAAAGAAAGAAAAGCACATCAAACAGACAGCCAACATTGCACACAAACGCAGCCCGGTTATCATGAGGATGTATGAAATTAGCATAAATGGCTTGTCTGTCACTACATTATCAAGACATGTCACATGTGGAACAAGATGAATCAACCAGACTGAGATAAGACTAAAAAAGTTTACCCAGATGAATCCATAACAGTATATAAATGTTAATTGAGATGGCATATAAAAATCTGATTAAACATTTGCAGATTTTAGGGGGAAAAGATAGGAATTTGCATATGCACCAAAAGAGGAAATATCATGTCTTAGCTAACAAAGAATACCAAATTAAGCTAGAGCTACTTCAGATCATGATGAAATTAATGCTAACAAGGTAAAAAGAATTCTCGGCAACAGCATCCGTGATTTCTTAAATACCAAAATTAAACATTCATGACTCGAGCACTTTTTTTTATTTTATCAAAACAAACTTAAAACAATTTAGTGAATTTTCTGCTTGGCATTCATCTATAAATAGAGCACAATTTGTAAAGTAGCTCTCTAGAGTTATGCATAAACCGCAATGTTTCTCTGTCAAGGTGTCCCCGTCATCACTCTATCCTTCTTTCCTCAAGCTTAAAGGAGAACCACAGAAGTCAAAATCGAACATTTCGGCCAAAAGAAGTGATCGTCAATCATGAATTCATGAGTGGGTCAAAGCTTAAGATCCAAAATTTCCAGCATGTACCATCATATAGGAAGAAAGATTGCAAACAACCAACATGACAAGAGTTCGCCTTCCAGAGTCAACATGCCAATTGACTAGAATCCCATCACGTTATGATCTTACACACTACCATGTTATACTATTCTGTTAAAGACTAAAGAGTATTAGATCTTCATTCTAATCTTATTTAACATAGATCAAGACAAACTGATAGCGATTCTCTTACTTAAGTCCATCATTGCATCACATACCGTGTGCTCGCAACTCCAAAAGAAGAACATTATCTATGAAATATCCCAATCACTCCCACATAACTCCAATTAATCTAGCCAGAATGTCAAGCTCAGCCACATAGCATACAACTAGAGGACAACAAGCTCTGGA